ATATATATATACATACATAAACATACACAAACTCAAAAGCACACATACAACAGGAGAGAGTGACACTGGAAGATAAAGACAACATGGAAAATTAGTACTCAAGAGAGTTGCGTAATAAATATCATGTGACATTTAAGATCATGCGTGGCAAGTATGGCAACACAAGTGCGGTTTGCAGGGTGGCGATGTCGATCCACGATCCAGTCACAGACCACTGCCGCACCGACAGAAACATGATACACAGGTGTGCGGAAACCTATCAATTATACGACACTTCTGCGTTGTTATATACACGGTGAAATCGTATTAATAGTGACCTTTAAGGGCTTAGCGAGGAAACTTAATAACTTTCCAAAATAAACAGGTAAAAACTGTTTCGTCCATGATATTCCCCCATGCGTTGCCATTGCTGAGGACTCAGGTGTTATTCCTCTGTACTCTGTAAATTCACTGCCATATCCCACCATATAAACCGAAACACAACCATACAAACACGACTGTTTCACGGTTGAAACACGAATAGGACAGAGGGGCTCAAGCAAACGACTTTTATACAGTCTCCCTCCAATGTATTGGTAGTTTTATAGATATATAGAATGTAGATACAAAATCTCTATCTCTTAATATGTAGGTTGAGATTTTGCTTTCAAAAATCAACTTCAATTGTGTCAAAATTAATAATATAGGATAGATACGGTTTTGTCTATTAGAAAAAGAATCATCAAAATCTGTAGAAAATTATCATCTTGCTAATTCCAAATTGCATTTTTTTTACAACACGGGGGGCAAACGAGCTTGCGCCTCACCTGATGGTAAGTGACTACCGCCGCCCATGATCACCCACAACACCAGCGGCATTGCAGGTGTGCTGCCGGCCTTTTAAAAAGGAATATACTCTTTTCTTGAAGGTTATGATGTCACATAACACGCACACACACACAAATACAGACACAAAGAATGATGAGTGATTGATGATGAATGACTAAGATGGAATGTTACATCACCTATCTATGCTGATAGTGTGCAATGGCAGAGCCCCAGGGGAGTGTGAAATGATGGAAGCCAAGTCAATGAATTTGGCATATCATTGCAAATTCACTATAAATTAAATCGAGATCTCGCGAGATGACTACACGGTCTATTTGACGGGAAATATAGCTAACCATGAGAGCACTAGTCTCAATTACTAACAATCCCTTCCCCCTGATTATTATATTACGTGAATTCCTCAACTGGAAATTTATCTAGAACGCATTCAGAGAGCTCGAAATTTGTAGCGTTTATCTCAAACGCTTCGGGCTAGGCGGTTTCTTTCATTGCAATCCGTTCGTACTTATATATGTTTCATTCCTCGAGGCTAGCAACACTGCACCATTCAATTATCATAAAAACAGCAGAGAATGGTTTCCAGATACCAAATAACTAGTAACGTAACAAGCTGAAGCTAGACAAGTGGTATTGAGTTTTGAAACGTGACTTGACTTTTATAAATCTACCTTTACAAAGTAAGCGATAATACTGACACTGTGAAGGGGAAGGGATTGTTAGTAATGGGGACTATCTTCCCCATTGTAATCAGTATGCCTTATCAGGTCGACCTCCACGCGGTTCCCCCTGGAAACCATTGTGATTATTTATCGTCAAATTCGTCGCTATGCGCCAACTGAGCTGACTTCGTCCTCATCTAGCATCTCTTACTGATACCCTGTCAGTGTATACCGATAGTACGGACAAGGCTATAATATACCCTATTGCTAGCAATGGGGATTAACGTCCCCATTACTAACAAACCTTCTCCACCCTGTTAAAAGTCTGTTATCCGAAAAATAATATTGAATAACAGACTTTTAACATATTCGAAAATAGATATCCGAACGATATTTTTTTATGCAACTTAGAATGGCAAACAAGCTGACGGCCAACCTGATGAAAAGTATTAACCGTCGCCTATAGACACGAGCAGTACCATGGACATAACAGAGTATACTGTTCCGCCCATGATATCCTTATGCGTTACCATTCCTGAGGACTCAGGTGTTATTCCTCTGTACCCTGTAAATTCACTGTCATATCCCACCCTTCAAATTGTAACACAACCATGCAAACACAACTGCTTCACGGTTGAAACACGAATGAGACAGAGGTGCCCGAGCAAACGACTTTTGTACAAAGTCTCCCTCTGGTATGGATGATATTGAAATGGGCGATGACCTTTTTTCTACCATAAATGTCCAGAGAAACCCAACATATAGATATCGGATAGATTACCTATTAACATTGGATGCCTATTAACAAGTACGCGATTTATTTTTCACGGGTCGATTTCACGGCTTCTCCGTGGCGGCGACGCTTCCGTGGGCTCCACGTGCAAATTAATGCCAGTTCGGTTATAATAATGCCACTATTATGTGTCGTTGGGTGCTAATCTCGGGTATAATAACACTACGCGGTCTAGTAACGTCACATATTTCGCATAATAGGTTTTGTAACCGCGTTTGATAATTGAGAGATTCATTATTTTCCCGGCGCCGTTCGAGCAAGTGCTGGAAGAAAAATGGATATCCGAAATCCGGCGACAGTATTATTCGAATCACAAATACGTGTTTAGAATTTTTGGAAGTATCAACAATTCTTCTAAAATTGTATAAACTGTTATAATGACCCCCCCCCCCCACTAGATGGAGTGACGGCCTCAAATACATTGCAGGGAGTCAGTGGATGCAGGTGGTTCAGGAGCGTTCCTTGTGGCAGTCTCGGGGGGAGCCGTATATCCAGCAGTGGACGGATAATGGCTGAAACGATGATGTATAAAATGTGAAAGTTTGTGAGAATGAATGAATGTTCTGGTATTTGTCATTCATTACTGCATTCTAACGTGAAGAATATTTTTTAGCAAGTCAAAATGGCAAATATGCTGACAATTTACCTGATGGCAATGTCAACCTTCGATAAACTTTAGTTACACCATGCTTGCAATTAGCATGGAGACGTGGATTCAGAATATATATAGTAATACGCATGGTACCCTTGCTGTGTGGGGGAAAAGGAATTGCTAGTGATTGGATCTAACAGTCCTATTGCTAGCAACATACTCTATCAGGCCGACATCCACGTGGTTCACCCTGAAAACCATCGTGGTTAATTCTTGTAGTATTCGTCACGATAGGCTAACTGACCTGCTTTCATCTTCACCTATCATCCCTTACTGGAGCCTCACCGGCGTTTACTGTTAACGCAGGCGTAGGTTCTTTCACCATTCCATTCTCATCCATTAAAAAAAGGCCTTACTGTGTGTCATTCTCGAAGACTAAAATTTTACCTTTATTAATTTAAATTACTGTCAACAGTAAAATTAAATTTTACTGTTGACAGTAAACAGTCAAGCAAGCATAAAATGACTTGTCAGTCATAAACGAGTAGGATAGAGGTATCCATGGTGGTTTTGTAGCGTAATGAGTGTGAAGCATATGGGTAAAGTTTGCACACAGCGTATTCCTATAGGTCATTGTTAATTCAAACAGAACCTTCACCGTAACGACATTAAATTATCAAAACATCTGATGCGGACGTGGATGGTATAATTTAGTTGAAAATACCAATATAAATCGTATATTTTAATAGAGTTCTGTACAAATAAAGCCATATACACACAAGTGTCGTGATCGTGGCGCGGCGAGATGGTCGCGCGTGACAACCAGCCTGTATCGATCGTGTGCCAGGGGCATAACCCCTGCTCTTTGTGTAGGGTTGTCTGGTCTACAAACAGCTATGGTGTAATCTTAGACTATCTGCAGAGAACACAATTCGCCATATGATCAGTAAAATCGATCGGTGGTGTCCCTACAAATTGGCGTGTCAATAGAACAAGTTTTACAAGCGAAGGAGTTCTATTCAGACACTTCCTTACTCGTCCTTCAAGTTCATAGACAACTTTACAACTACATTTATTTTTTCATTACAAGTTTTCGGTTAAATTCGCTGTGTATGCCCCTACATAGAATGGGCCACCCCTTCCTTTCCCGTGGGTGTCATAAGAGGGGACTAAAGAGGGCGAGGTATGGGCAGCAACATCCCTCTTAAATTTATATATTTAAAAAAAAAATAAATAAATATTCTCAGTTAAAATACAGATATATCAATAGTCCAGAATAGAAGGATGTTGCAAAAAACAGCGACAGAAAACAAACTTTTATATAAAAAAAAACCATCCCTCTTAAAACATCTCTAAAAGCCTAACTGTGGTTGCCAACCCGCCTGCCAAGCGTAGCAACTATTGGCAAAACTCCCCTTATGGGGAAAACTTATGTCCAGCAGTGGACAGTTAACGGCTGAAATACAGTATTATACACGATGGATCAATGTTGGAGTACGTTTGCCTAGAAAATATTAAAAATAAGTATTACTTATATGTACAGATTTTTTTAATAGATGATAATGGAATGGTAACTTCGCCTGCGCTATCGGTATACACTTGCGGGGCACCAGTGAGAGATGATAAACAAAAATGAAGCAGGCCAGTTTTATCTGTTTCGCCCATGATTCCCCCCATGCGTTGCCATTCCTGAGGACTCAGGTGTTATTCCTTTGTATTTTATAAATTCACTGCTATATTCCACCCTTCAAACCGAAACAAAGCCATGTAAACTTTAAAATTAATGATGTCGCCTTATGGTATAAATGTTTTGACAAGATTTTAACTTTAGCCGAGTGTGGTGGACGCGGTTGCCTAGGCAACGGAAAATACTTCTAAAACAGTATAGTCGATTTTTCATACAAATATATACGTTATGTAATCTAAAATGTTTTCATTTGGAGAGCAAAGTTAAACACTATATAAATAACTTAATACTTTTTTTTTATATTTGTGATATTTTTGTTTGATAACACAAGAAAACACATGTTTTTTTCCTTATAAATTAATATTTACATTTATTTACAATTAGTTTATATAAGTTTCTTGAAAAAGTATCTAATTAATATTATGATTTAAAGGTACATACCCAATTAATGATACCATGAATCCAAGCGCATTTTTTTTTATAGATTACAGAAAAAAACACTTCATAACACAACACTATTAACTAAAAAAAAAATAAGTGCACCACGACTCGTCCGCCACAGATGAAATAACGTTTTTAATCATAGACAACAAATAAAAGCCCCTATTTACCGTGACCGTTTTGAAAAAGAAAAAAGAAAATTCGAATTTCGAATCGTTCGAAAGCACTCGTGCGTCCCCGCCGGCCGCGAAGCGACTGCACGACTTTGAAATCAAACCTGCGACCTCCGTTGTCCCTTTCTTTCATACAATAGAGTAATGAGAACTTGATCGATTCTTATCTTTGAAAATACTTTTTTTATTGCAAAGTTATTAACTAGTTTTCCAATAGAAGAGATGATATTTTTTGTTATCTTTTCAAATAATTTTATTATAAAGTAATATAAACAAATAACTTTTTTTATACCACTAAAGTGTCAAATAACCATACGGTCCGCCTGATGGTAATTGTTATTGTAATATTTTGCAGTATCTAATACCTACCATTCATACCTGTTTATTATAAAAACCTCTGCAGGGAGATCAACTGCAGGACGCAATTGATAAAATATTTTAAATTTATACTTATTAAATTTGTATTGGCCGTAAACTGTCCACGGCTGGACATAGGCCTCCTCCATAAGGGGGAAGCTGCTAATAGTTGCCATGCTTGGCAGACGGGTTATAGGGTTTTCTGTAATGTCTATGGTACTATTCAAGTCTATAGGCGACGGTTACCACTTCCCATCAGGTGGGCCGTCAGCTTGTTTGCCATTCTAAGTTGCATAAAAAACATACATACGAATACAAATGTTTGCATTTTTTTTATACAACTTAGAATGGCAAACAAGCTGATGGCGCCCCTGATGGAAAGTAACTGTCGCCTATACACCTGAGCAGTACCATGGACATAACAGAGTATACTGTTTCGCCCATGATACCCCCCATGCGTTGCCATTCCTGAGGACTCAGGTATTATTCCTCTGTACTCTGTAAATTCACTGCCATATTCCACCCTTCAAACCGAAATACAGCCATGCAAACACAATTGCTTCACAGTAGAAACACGAATGGTACAGAGGTGCTCAAGCAATCGACTTTTGTACAAAGTCTCCCTCTGGTATTGTATATTGGATAATAGAAATTTAACATATTCGTTATTGGGTAAATCGTGTACGTAGATATTCTTCTATATTTACCACCCCTATATACCCCTACAAGTTAAAGTGCTAATGAAGCATCACAGTTAAAGCTATAGGGCTCTTCACAACTCAAACTTTCCAAGAGCTTCATTAGCGACCTGTCAAACTACGAGTGCTTCACTTGTTGATTACGTAGTATTTCAAATATTTTTGTCCATGTTCTCTGATTAGAGCTAGCTACGAATGTACTGAAAAATTAATAACTAGCTCCTTGAGACTCTGATCACGTTATAAAGGTTTTTGTAAGGTATGAAAATAGAATTAATTCCAATTTCGTCCATTAAAACAACAGACAGTTTAATTTTATTCCAAATGGCAATGGTGATCCAGTATATATCAATTCATTCACGCTGTCGATATTCGCCATTAATGTTGAGATTCCATGCCTACTTGTATATGAGATGTTACATGACCATTATTTTTCCTTTACCTACGATCTCGCAAATAATTATCGTATTGGGCAGCAATAAAAGTGATTTTAATAATTACATGTCTACTGCCGCTGACACTGATGCTCCTTTCCACTTTGGGTCTGCTGGAAGAGAAGTCTTGTAGAGTTAAGCTCGCCCTTGTACATTTGTTTTCTACTGTTATATTTCTGTATGTATTATTGATGTGTACAATGAAGTATAAATAAATAAATACTACCTTTTTATGGGGCGAAGGGATTGTTAGTAATGGAGACTGAAAAACCCATTGCTGGCAATATACCCAACCCAACCCAAAAAAAGGTCGACCTCCTCGCGGTTCTCCCAGGAAACTATCATGGTTAATCCCTGATGAATTCATCATGATGCGCTAACTGGCCTGTTTTCATTCTCATCGATCACCCTTCACTGGTGCTCCGCCGGCGTATCCCGTTAGCGTTGGCGGGGTTACCATTCCATTTTCACTCATAAAAAAAAAAACTACCTTTTTATGCGTACGCAAATACATTTCAATAGTCCCTGTTCAATTTGCGAATCAATAAAGTATTCCATACCATAAAGCAATCCAACAATTCATTGGAGTTCAAAGCATTCAATTGTACTCGTTGAAACTTTTTTGGCAAAGCAAATCCGACTGAGTCGAGATATGCAAGATAAGTGCGCATGCGTCGACGTTAACATGGGTACACGCGGCGAAATAAAAGACTCCGCCATTTTGAAATATGGCGGCGCGTCCGTTGTGATAGCGCGGGAAATTAATGAGATGCACGGATCGAGCGTCGCCGGGATGCGAATGTTGTGTTTATTGTGACCAAGATTAAGGTTTTATTTTATTAATTTTGTTCCATAAAAATTAATCCACTTATTCATAAAAACTTAAAGCTGAAACAAACCAATTTTAGCTATTACAGTAATCGATTTGATTTCGAATAAGTCGTCGAAACGTTCCTAATAAGTCAATATCATTAATATCTTCTAAGTCTTACAATAACAGCCATTTTTCGTCTAGACACAAAAGCGAAGTAAATTAACAAAAAAGAATTTTGACCTTTTGGAGGTTAATACAACAATTAACTAGGGCTATGAAGAAATATCTTTAGAGCATAGACGATCCACGATTTAGTGATAATTTTTTTTTTAATAAGAATTAGTATTAACTCTAGTCTCACTTTAGTCTTTATTTTGTAATAAGACAGAAAGAGTTTATGGCTAAAGTTTATGGTAAATACTCTATACTGCTTACAGACTTTTAGCTTATGAGCTAAGGTGAACAAGAGAAGTAAAGAACAGAGCTCCTATATTCTTTCTATTTACATACCTTAAAACACAATTGGCAAATTAAAATCCAAAACTTTGAGCAATACGAATAAAAACATACTACGTCGACAGGAAGATGAGCAATTGGCTCAGCCAATGGCTATCCACATAATGACAATTTTTTTGGTAGTGTATTAAAATTTTTTTTTCTCTATTTTTTTTAATAATAAATGTTAATGTCTAAAAAAAATCAGTAAAAGTAGTTAGTGTAATACATTTTCAATACTAAAGAACCATAGACCACAGGTAAAGAACTTCCGAGATACATTTAGAAATATACGTAGACATATAAATGAAGCCCTTTTATCATACTACCCTTTATAACGCATACAATGCATATCCTGCATTCGCAAATTGATTTACATAGGACGGGTCAGAGATTACAAAATATTTATGTCGACACAATACAATTTAATGAAATATCAGCCATTAATCGCCCACAGCTGAACATAAGCCTCCTCTTTAGGGGGGTTTTGCCAGTAGTTGCCACGCTTGGCAGGCGGATTGATAACCGCAGTTAGGCTTTAAAGATAGTTTAAGAGGAACGCTGCTGTCCTACTTTCGCCCTCCCTTAGTTGCCTCTTATGACACTCACGGGAAAGAAAGGGGTGGCCCATTCTATGCCGGGACCACTAGCGCGTATCATTCCATAACATCTTCTAAAAAAGACCTGCCACTATAAGTTTTCCAATTTATCGTCGTTTCATCAAACTACGAGTATTTTAACTTTCTTGTTTTGAGGGCGTTGTAATTATTAAAATACGCTAGGATCTATCACTGAACATGTTCTTGACTCGCGACTTGCGTCGCGTTCTGTCAGTGTGAATGCACATAATATGCATACGCATTATTATTTCTGCATCTGAATAGGTACAATGCGCCACGGGGCTACCATTCTACAAGTTGGCTTTGACTCAACGTTTAATTAATTGGCTCGCGCCTGAACACGACAGGGCGTCGATTTTGAAGTGGCAGCAATTGTCATGAAAGTCATTTTGAGCATGATTTATAAATGTCTTGGCACTTTCTTTTTAATTAGGAATGACAAATAAGCCGACTTATATATATATATATATATATATATATATATATATATATATATATATATATATATATATATATATATATATATAGCTTCCAAATTGATAACTTTGACACTTAAAGTCGATATTTTTAATTTTGTCTTTTTCTCCTCTACCTTTATCTGGAAGAATACCTTAATATTTACTGCATTTATTATTTTTTAAATGGTGCAATAGTTTAAATAGATAAATAAATAATTTCAGCAAAATCTTAAATTATAAAAATATTGTTTTTATATACTTTTTTTTTTTTTATAATGATCATATCGCTCTATTTCGCTGTCGTAGTCTGTCTTCTGTAATTGTCTTTATTATTGAGATTTTAAACGCATTGTTTGATTATAGGCTCTAAACATATTAACATACAGTCCATATTGCCTATATGTTACCTTTTCAAGGTTTACAATTTTAAAGTAACCTCATACCTAAAGTCTATCATTATCTTCCTACCCTTAACCCTATTATTATTTGGGGTCGGCGTGATCTGGTTTTATCCAAATGATTTGGCTTATGGTTTTCCAACCGGTCGCCTGCTTGATGTCAACTCTCTTTGGGATACCCTAAGTCTATATCACATCAAAATCTTTATAACTGATTAGCCATAAAAACCATAAGATCGATGAGCAGTGGCTTTCATATTTATAAAATAGGTACAAATGTTTACCAGAGGGAGACTTTGTACAAAAGTCGTTTGCTTAGACACCTCTGTTCCATTCGTGTTTCAACCCTGAAGCAGTTGTGTTTACATGGCTGTGTTTCGGTTTATAAGGTGGGATATGGCAGTGAATTTACAGGGTACAAAGGAATAACTCCTGAGTCCTCAGGAATGGCAACGCATGGAGGGTATCATGGGCGAAACAGTATACTCTGTTATGTCCGTGGTACTGCTCATGTCTATAGGCGACGGTTACCACTTTCTATCAGGTGGGTCGTCAGCTTGTATGCCATTCTAAATTGTATAAAAAAAATTAGGCGATATACGTTTATATATAAAATGTTTACTACAGGAAGTCTTTGTACAAAACTCGTTTGCTTGGACACCTGTGTTCCATTCGTGTTTCAACCGTGAAACACTTGTGTTTGCATGGCTGTATTTCGGTTTGAAGGGTGGGATATGGCAGTGAACTTACAGGGTACAGAGGCTTACACCTTATTCCTTAAGAATGGCAACGTATGAGGGG